TTATCCCCGCTCTGTCCCGGGTCTATCCCCGCCTGTCCCCGCAGCCTACGCGAACAAGGCGCTGCTGTCGCTGTTCGCCGCCGAGATGGTGCTGAAGCTCTACGCGCTGGGTCCCTCCTGTTACTTCGCCAGTTTCTTCAACCGCTTCGATTGTTTCGTGGTGTGCGGGGGGGTGCTGGAGACGGCGCTGGTGGAGCGCGGGGCCATGGAGCCGCTCGGCATCTCCGTGCTGCGCTGCGTGCGCCTGCTGCGCGTCTTCAAGGTCACCCGGTGAGGGACAGCGCCAGCCCGTGACACCCGCAGCGGCTCTCAGTGCCCGACACCCCAATGTCCCAACACCCTGACACCCCAATGTCCCGACACCCCAATGTCCCAACACCCCAGTGCCCCGACACCCCAGTGTCCCAACATCCCAATGTCCCAACACCCCGACACCCCAGTGTCCCGACACCCCAATGTCCCAACACCCCAGTGTCCCAACACCCCAATGTCCCAACACCCCAATATCCCAGCACCCCAATGTCCCGAATCCACACCCCCCCGCTGTCCCAAGGCAGCGATGTCCCAATGCTGTGATGTCCCACACCGATGTCCCACACCAATGTCCCACACCGATGTCCCACACCGATGTCCCACACCGATGTCCCACACCGATGTCCCACACCGATGTCCCCCAGCACCGGCTGCTGGCTCTGCCCGGCCCCTTCCCAGTGCTCCCAGTGCTCCCAGTAACCCTCGTGTCCCGCAGGCACTGGGCGTCGCTGAGCAACCTGGTGGGGTCCCTGCTGAACTCCATGAAATCCATCGCCTCCCTGCTGCTGCTGCTCTTCCTCTTCATCATCATCTTCGCCCTCCTGGGCATGCAGCTCTTCGGGGGCCGCTTCAGCTTCGACGAGACCCAGACCAAGCGCAGCACCTTCGACACCTTCCCGCAGGCCCTGCTCACCGTCTTCCAGGTACCCCAAAACCTGGGAGACCCCTCGGGGGAACCCCAGAAGCCGGCAGGAGCCCCCCACCCATCACCAGCCGCTCGGGGGCGATGCCGTGTGCTCACAACTGGGAGGCAGCGGTGCACTGGGAGCACTGGGGGGGGGCACTGAGGTTTTGGGGTGCCCCCGGTGTTTGGGGACCCCCAACTGCCCCAGATCCTGACGGGGGAGGACTGGAACGCGGTGATGTACGATGGGATCATGGCCTACGGCGGCCCCGTGTTCCCCGGGATGCTCGTCTGCGTCTACTTCGTCATCCTCTTCATCTGCGGGAACTGTGAGGGACTGGGGGCACTG